TAAGAAAATTTATCAAACACAAACAAAAGGCCATAACACATAACAAACTGGATCAACATCAGTTTTACAGATGTTGATCCAGATGTTGGTGTATTAGTATTTGTGGCAACTACTGAAGAAGGGAGTAGCCCCCCCCAAAAAAAGTACGGTAGTTCCCCACACTTATGTCAAAAAGCACGTTTTGTTTTTGTCAATGCTGTCTCACTGTTGGCAAAATATCTCAAGAACTACTAGAAGGATTGTAATTACACTTTCAGAAAATAACCTCTGGATGCAAATCTATAACTGAATTTTTGGTACCATGTTACAATAAGGGTCCCCTTATGAATGGCTAATAAATAGTTTATAGATATGTTATTAATTCCTCTATAAACACTTTATAAATCATTAATAACTGCTTATTATGCATCAATTAAGGGTGACAGACAAAACTGAACAATTTCTTGCCAAATAGTGAGCCAAACCTGTTCACCAACAAAGTCCATGCTCAATAATCTAGATATACAATCCAACAATTTTCAATCAGGTCATCTGGACAGTTTCTTTTTTTTTTTTTTTTTGTATGCTGAAACGTTTCACCTTCCATCCAGAAGGCTTCATCAGTCAAGGAAACACACAACACAAAACTGATTCTTCCCCCAACAGCTTACTCCAAAGTGGAACAAACCAGTTATGTTGGTGCTAAGATGGTCTCTTTGGCACGCCCCCTCCTCCCGTGCCGGCCCTCTTCCTCGTTGACAGTCATGTCAAACTGGTTCAAAACAACAAAGTCCATGCTCAATAATCCAGGTATACAATCCAACAATTTTCAGTCAGGTCATCTGTTCTGGTCAATCTGTTCACTTATATATTTCATCTAGAGTTGTTATATTAAACATTTCAGACTAAGTTCCTACCTTGTAAGCACAATAAGCATTTGTAAACCTATTTTTCAAGGATATTTATTTATTCATTTATTTATTTATTAACCTTTAATTAACCAGGCAAATCCCATTGAGATCACAGATCTCTTTTGCAAGGGAGGCCTGGGCCTGAAGGCAGCCTAACATGTTTTTGGTCTGTGGGAGGAAACTGGAATACCCGGAGAAAACCCACGCAAGCACGAGAAGAACATGCAAACTCCACCCAGAAAAACCCCAGGTCCAACCGGGGATTGAACCCGATATAATATTGTACTTTATCATTGCATATAAGTATCTACAACTAATATCATATCCTAACAAAATTAGGTTTACAAATGCTTATTGTGCGTACACAGTAGTAACTTTGTCTGAAATGTTTAATATAACATCTCTAGATGAAATACATAGGTGAACAGATTTGGCTCATTATTTGGAAAAAACTGGTCAGTTTTGTCTCTGTCACCCTTAATCAATGCATAATAAACAAATTATATCTATAAACTATTTATTAGCCATCTATAAGGGGAGCCTTATTGTAAAGTGGTCCTTTTTTTAGGCGTTTGTCTGTCTCATACATATTTACTGCTTGACTGTTCATCCCCTGTGTGATCCTGCAGTCATTTATACATTTATTGTATATTTGCGTTGTCATCTGATTTGTTTCCCCGAGACTTAATTTTACCAGAAATCCTTAAGTCATGTTTTATTTTTCTCTCATAGAATCCTGCAGTCCTGAAATCAGAAAAAAAAAAAAAAAAAAGGTTTAGTTCTTTTCTCAGTTTTCACATCATAGTCAAAATTGAATTTACGGTTTTACATTTTCGTTACAGAGGCTCAGATTCTTTGCCTAGCTTTTAACTGAGTCAGGAAATAGAAGAGTTCGTCATTCTTTTCTGTCTCAAACAAAACCAAAAAAGCAACAAAATATACAGCATTTTGTTCTCAGAAATAGGATTTAATTTTTATCCCCCCTCCTCCTCGGTTGTCTAAAATCTAATAAAGCGACATGAGTGAGCCACACTGTCTGAAATCATTTCTGTGAACACAAACTATAATTAGATTCATTCATTCACTGTCCTGCTGTTTCAAGATCCCCACATGAACCCAGCCCTGAAAGTACCCCCAACCATTTCTCCATTAAACACTGCAGCTCTCAGCTGATGAGGATTTCTCCTAAAATTCAACAATCTGTTCAATTCGTGAAATGTTCTCAATATTTCTATTTTCAGGTGGATCCAGTGGACTTCAAGCTGAGTCACAGTCAGAAAATAAAAGTTTGTTTATTAGAGATTCTTCCTCACTTAATTAATTTAATTAGAAAAGTGTCTTCTGAATATGTTAAATGATATCCAAAAGTCAAAGAAGACAAAAGTTAAAGCAAAATAAATATTAAATCTTTAAGAGAAAATTTTGAACTGAAGGAGCAGCTGTGTTTTTTGGGACCCATTTGGCTTGCCGTAGATTGCTGTTTTGTTTTTGAAGTAGTTTGTGAAAGGTTTTGCTGAACTGGTTTGCATGTGTTGTGTTTAGACGTTTCAGAGAGAGTGGGACATCAGAGCGTTTGCTGAGTTGAACTGGTTGTTTGCTGGCTGTTTGAAGGCTCTTAATTTGATGATGGTGCACTGATAGGGATTTATTTTGTGGTTAAAAATCTTGGGGAAATTTTTTTTACAAAACTTTCAAATTCAGGTAAAAACATTTTGTTGTTTCCTTTCTGCTTTATTTAAGCTGGTTTGTCCTGGACTCTGGCCATCTGAAGGCCTTTTGGTTTTTCCGTTGTTGTGAGAAATGTTGCTTGCTTAGGATTAAAAAAAAAAAAGGATGTAAAACAATTTGTCTGTGAAATGTTGATTTGGTGTTTGCTTATTGTGTTCCATGCTATCCGTCTTCTAGAGCAGGGGTTCTCAAACTTTTTGGGTTCAGGGACCCCTTACAGAGGAGAAAGGTTTAAGGGACCCCCTCATAACCCTCATGTTCATTAAATAATTTTCTTCAATTCGTCTCTTTAATGCAATAAAAATATTTTGTAACATAAATACTTAAGACCTGTTCTTTAATAATCCATCCATCCATCCATCCATCCATTATCTTTACCCACTTATTCCATTTTGGGTCACGGGGGTCGCTGGTGCCCATGTCCAGCAATCACTGTGCGAGGGGCGGGGTACACCCTGGACGGGTCGCAAGTCCATCACAGGGACACATAGAGACACACGAGACAAACAACCATTCACTCTCTCACTCACACCTAGGGACAATTTAGAGTTACCAATCAGCCTAACATGCATGTTTTTGGTCTGTGGGAAGAAACCGGAGCACCCGGAGAAAACCCACGCATGCACGAAGAGAACATGCAAACTCCACCCAGAAAGGCCCCTGGACCGGGGTTTGAACAGAGGACCTGCTCGCTGAGAGGCAGCAGCTCTACCAGTTGCGCCACCGTGCTGCCCTTCTTTAATAATGTTAATACAATTTTTATACTTTTAAAAATGGAGTATTTTTCACTCAAGACAAAACTTAATCAACAATATTTTTAATTTCAACTTCCAAAAATTACAGTTTTGAGAAAATTAACAGAATCAAAAAAACACTTTAAAACTTTACCTATTCACATTCAATTCAATTCAGTTTATTTATATAGCACCAAATCACAAAGAAAGTTGTCTCAGGGCACTGAACATACATAGAAAAGCCATTAGTAAAGTTCTCTATCTAAGGAATCCAGCAGACATGTTGAATCTTCTCTTCGCCAATGAACATAATAAGCATATTGCCACTTCTTCAAATTATTACAGAAAACTCTTTACATAAAACTGAACAGAATCATAACAGCAGTAGTCACACCAAGTAACAGGGCTTCATTTGTAAAGCGATCGATGCCAGAACACAAATAGTGGGTGAGCCAGCAGATGGGTGTCTGGGGGTCCTCCCCCATAAAATTTTGAATAAAGTAGATGTGATTTCCTGCATTTTGATGTATTGTAACGGGTTGTCAAACATCTACCTTTTTGTAAGAGAACCTTGAGGGGAGGACCCCCCCCCCCCAAGCACCAGCCCGCAAACCCCCCGGGGTGTGGGGACCCCAGTTTGAGAACCACTGTTCTAGTGTGCTGATTTGTGACAATGAACAGCAAATGAGAGTGATGTGTCTGGTAAATGTATTGCTGTTTCAGTATGAGTCCGCTAAAAAAGAATCAGTGCTTTGAGAAAATGCAGACATTTAAGCACAATGTAACCATTACAAAAATGTAGACTACACCACTGCATTTTCTTGCAATATTACCTCATACTACAAGACTTGATGATATCCAACAATGTTCAGTCAGGTCATCTGGACAGTTCCTTTTTTTTGTTGAGACGTTTCGCCCTCCATTCAAGGGCTTCATCAATCAGATGGAGGGTGAAACGTCTCTCAACAACTAAAGGAACTGTCCAGATGACCTGACTGAACATTGATGGATTTCTTTACCTGGATTATTGAGCATGAACTTTGATTTCTTGATGATATCGTTTTAGACAGTGCTAAATTTGTAAACCAAAATTTTTGAATAAATTAGATGCCATTTCCTGCATTCTGGTGTATTTTAATGGGTTGTTAAACATCTATGTTGTGTGTGTGTGTGTAACTGGGACCCTCTGTACATAATTTAGCTCCACCACATATACCACATGTGGTGCGAATGACAATAAAGAATCTCTGAATAGAGCACGAGCTGCCTCTCTCAAGCATTCTAACCCCCCACCCTCCACCCCCAGGAGCGGAGATGTTTTTTAAGGGTAGAAGCAGAAATGCTAACTTGAAGGGGCAGCTCTTATGTGACATTAGGAAGCTTGTAAATGGCTGTTGTTTAAAATTAGTTTACGTAAATTATTTTCAGTTTACATGTCCAATAAACGTTTATTCATTCAATGCAGTCAAATCTGTTCATAACTTTATTATTAGTAAGTCAGCGAGTTACCGGATCCAAGCAAATAATTACCAGAATGTACCCTGTCAAAATAAGAGTTCCCAGATCCTGTTCTGGCAGGACCCAGCTCAAATTAAGCCCTGGTTTGAGTAGTCCAGCACATTTTAACTATACTTCTGTCTGTTTCCAGCCCATACGGACCACCTCCACCCATGCATCAGGCTCCACCCCCACAGCACTACCAAACAATCCCACAGCAGTACCAGCCAATCCCACAGCAGTACCAGCCAATACCACAACAGTACCAACCAATCCCACAGCAGTACCAGCAGCCACCCACACATCAAGCCCCGCCCACTCAGCAGAGCTCCATTCAGATACCAGTTGGATCTGGTCCTCCCAAAGTCGTCAGCACTGCCTGCATCTACCCCTCCCAGCCAGGTGAGGCACTGAGGCACTAAAGAACCATATTATAAAGACTTAAACTGCATAATAAAGTATTGATAAGTATCAAACTGTAAAGTATTGGATGTAGTTATTAGTATAAGTATTTAATCTTATAAGATAATGACTGTGCCATAGGACTAGATTGGACTAGAATTAAACCAAAGTTAATTGTTTTATATAATTTAAGTTTTATATTGTATCATGAATAAATCATAAGATATTACCAACACATGGAAACAACACACTGCACCATGTTTACACAAACGTACAAGATTCATACAAAGCCGAACCCCACCCCCACCTAGGACTCTCTGATCATATCTCCATCTTCCTGGCTCCTGCTTACCTCCACCCGCTGAGACGCTCCAGACTGGTACAAAAGAAAGTTAAATCTTGGATCCAGAATAGTGGCCCCATACTGAAAGACTGTTTTGCATGCACAGACTGGCAGGTCTGAAGCTGCTGAAAATGAGGGGGCGCTAGACCTGGAGGAATACACATCCTGAGTCCTGAGGTACATTAGTAAATGTGCTGATGATGTCACCACCATCAGACATGTTAAGAGTGTAGTGGACTAGGCCTATGTCAAAACTGACCAGATGGACAGAGACTGTTATTTCATTGATCTGCATCCAGAAATACAGTTTGAGCCATCTGGAGACTTTCTTTCTTGAATTAATCAAGTAGAAAAGACAATTCTTTATGATCATTACTATTTTACAAATGTTTGATAATCAAATTGTGTTAGTTCACTCAATGTTTACAGGTTGAAGAGAACTACTCATTTTTATTTTACATAAACAGTAAGTAATGATTTTTATTCCTCATTCAAAGAAGAAATCAGGGTAATATGCATTTCTTGATTTTTCTGTCTTCAATGAGCAAATTTGTAAGTATGTGAAAGTTCAGGCTTCGGTCAACTAAAATGTTTACTGAGAAGAAATGTCATGTTTAATCTTTACAGCAGATAATCAGAGTAGAGGCTCCACGAAGTCTCGTTTTCTCCAATAATCTTTCTGTCTGTTTTTAAACAATCTCATTCTCTGCCCTTGACTTTTCATAACACCTTACATCACAAACCACACCTCTTTCTGGTCCATCGACCAATCAAAAAGCTCTCAAAGGACCCGGAAGTCGACCCATTTAAATGTGGCAACCTCCCAGTCTAGCTGCTGCGCTCAGATTGAGTTCAACATGGGAGTTTTCAGAGCTTGAAAGTTTTTCCTGGAGAAGAGTTCCAGACTTTAACTCTCTGAAGAGAGTTAAAGAGTCCAGAGTTCTTGGATGCTAACGCAGGCGTCCAGAATGTTTCTTGAATCCAGGAAGCAGTGACGATTTTGGGAATTATAACTTCTGTTTGGATAACCTCGCACGACTCTCTAAGGGTTTGGCTGTCCTCACGGAGACGCTGAAAGAGTCAGAAAGGAACTCCGCACCGACGCTGATTATCATCTGCAAGGTAAAAGTTCTGCTTCGACCAAGCGTACCGTGAACAAGCTGAGAACTGAAGGAGCGTGCACGTTTCTGGTCAAACAGATTAATTCCCTCACACATCTCTCTGTAAGATAAATCTCCATTTTCCATCTTAAACTCTCCTTTCTCCTAAAATCATTACAGATATTTTAGAAATATCTGAAGCAAAGTTCTCAATCACCGCCGTGTGATTGATGTCTGTTGTTCTGCTGAGAAGTGAGGACAATCTCCGTATTGTTCCAACTTTCTGTGAAACTTGCCATTGTTATTGTTTTCATATTCTGCCAAATTAATGTAAATGTGTGATGTTAAACTTTGATTCTGCAAATAAATGACCGCATTCATTTTGATGGGTCAAAGGTAAATAACGTCTCTCGTTACATTTCTGTTAAACTCAATGCACGCATTTACACAGTCAGAAAAATGAAGAACTCGCAAAATGTATGAATATATATGCATATGTCATACTACAAGAGTTACCCAAACAGGAAGCCTTGGCTGAATGCAGAGGTTCGCACCCTGCTGGAAGTCAGGAACACTGCCTTCAGGTCTGGAAGCTCAGAAGAGCTGAGTAGGACAAGGAAAGAGCTGGTTGCTGGTATTAAGAAGGCCAAGGTCACATATGCACAGAGGATCCAGGTCAATTCACCTCACAAGACCTATGGAGCATGTGGAGGAGCATTAAGTGTATAACAGATTATAAAGGCAGAAGTGAACGATGCCCTAGAGACCCATCACTGCCTGATGCCCTCAACAAATTCTACGCACGCTTTGAAGACCTGAACAGACCACCCAGCACCAGACTCACCTCACCACCGGAAAAAGAGCTTCTCAGCGTGACCTCAGCTGTAGTTAGGAGTAATTTCAGGAAAATTAATTTTCACAAAGCAACCAATCCAGTCAACATCCCCGGGAAGGTGCTGTAAGACTGTGCTGATCAGCTCTGAGAGGTGCTGGCCGACATCTTTAGCTCCTCATTCACACTGGCAACAATTCCAACCTTCCTGTAGACCACAACCATCATCCCAGTCCCAAAGAGCTCTACAGTGACTGGTCTGAATGACTATCGGCCAGTGGCCCTCACCCTGATAGTCGCTAAATGCTTCGAAAAACTGGTCATGACCCATATCAGAACAACCATCAACATTAACGAGGACCCTCATCAGTATGCATATCGTGAGAACCAATCAATAGAAGATGCCATCTCCTCTGTGGTCTACACTGCTCTCAACCACCTGGAGCAGAAAGACTCTTACATCGATATGCTCTTTGTAGACTTCACGTCTGCCTTCAACCCCATGATCTCCCAAACCCTGATGGACAAACTATTCACACTAGGACTAAGCCCCTCCATTTGCAACTGGGTCCTGGACTTAACAAACAGACCACAGTCAGTGGGGATCCACAACTTCTCCTCCTCCACCATAACCCTCAGCACTGGCTCCCCTTAGGGCTGTCTGCTGAGCCCTCTCCTGTTCACTCTGCTCACATATGACTGTGCACCTACTCATCCAGGCTGTCATGTTGTAAAGTTTGCAGATGATACAGCGGTGGTGGGATGCATCAAAAACAATGATGAGTCCAGCTACAGGCAGGAGGTGGAACACCTGGAGAGCTGGTGCAAGAAGAACAACCTTTACATCAATGTGAAGAAGACGAAGGAGATGATTGTGGACTTCAGAAGGAACAAACACACGTACTCCCCTCTATCAACATAGGAGGATTTGCAGTGGAAGTGGTCTCCAGCTACAAGTACTTGGGTATGCACCTGAATGACAACCTCAGCTGGGACAACAGCACCACCAGCCTGATCAAAAAAGCTCATCAGAGACTCTACTTCCTCAGGTGGCTTAGACTAGCTGGTCTGGGAATCTCAGTCCTCACCTCCTTCTACAGGTGTGCAGTGGAGAGCATCTTGTGCTCCAGCATCAACATGTGGCATGGAGGCTGCACAGCTGCATAAAGAACATCTTTGCAGAAAGTGATGAAGGCTGCACAGAAGTCTGTTAGAATCAGCCTCCCCACCATCACAGACATTTACACCTCCAGATGTAGGAAGAGGATCACCTGCATCATGAAGGACCCTACCCACCCAGCACACACACTTTTGGCCCCGCTCCCCTCAGGCTGGAGGTTAAGGAGCATTAAGTGTAGAACTACTAGACTGAGGAACAGCTTCTACCCTGAGGCTGTTAGACTCATGATTATCTAACCAGGATAATTGTGAAAAAATATCACATCATGTTGCTGCTGATTTATTTCATGCTGCTGTGTTCATTCGTGCTCATCTGCTCACACAGACTCATGTTCGTGTTGTTGTTCGTCGTATTATTGTTTTTTATGCTATTAGTGCTTAGTGTATTTTTATTAACGTTTTTCTTAGTTCATACTGTATATTATATCTTATTACTGTTTTTCTTTTACATTTTATTGTTGGATGTAACTGGGACCCTGTGCACACAATTTTGTTCCACCACATGTGCTGTGGTGTGTATGACAAATAAAGAACCTTGAATCCTTGAATCATATTGCCTTACTACACAATATATTATTTTAAACAGTATTCTTCTTTTATCAGTTTCAGCTCCGCCTCCAGCTCTAGCTCCAATCCCACCCCAACCTTGCCCTCCAGCCACCGTCCCAGCCCCACCTCTTGCTGCTCCGGCCTCCTCCAACAGACCGCCCTGGGTGACCGACAACAGCTTTGCTGATAAGTTCGACCCCAGTAAGACCACTACGACCACTACCTCCATGAAGGTCCAGCCGCTGCCCCAAGCAGCTCCTCCCCCACCGGCATACATCCCTAACCCCTCCCCCGTGGGAAGGCCTGCTCCAAGCCCTGCCCCTGTTAATCAAAGCCCTGCCCCCTTTACTCCTGTAGCGAGGGGCGTAGCCCAGCGGGCAGAAAGATTTGCTGCCAGCAGTCGTACACCTCTGTGTGGGGCATGCAACAGTGTCATCAGGTGAGTCACACCAATCATTCTGTTTTTAGGGTATTTAGTTTTTCTACATTCATCTTTTTTTAAAGAAATACTTGTTAATATATTTCTTTGGAGCTGCATAATATGGTGCCTAAAGTATCTTAAGGGATGTGACAAAAACCAGTTTTATTTTAAACTGTTTAAAAGGATCTTAGATTATTTCTATAAAGTATGAATGTCCAACAGTAAAAAAAAAAGTATTATTTATATTATTTGTTTGCTCCATGACCCACAAATATTTTTAATAACATATTTTATTGCAACAACAAAATATTGTCTATCTGGATTAAAAAGTAAATGTTTTACATCTATAAATTTAGAGCAAACTGGTCATCTGAGACTTTTTTTTTCAGATATCATCCTTGACAGGCTCCAATTTATTATAAATATTTGTTTTTAATGAAACATTTATCAATTTTATCTACATAATGTTTTTAGAAAATAGTAGAAATTTTGCACAATTACTTATTAAAACTTTTGTGCGGACTTTTAAAACTGGAAAGTCCAATAACCAATCAGAAAGATGCAACATGATATAGAATTAATAAAAAAAAAACACAAATAGCAGTAAATCTTTTATGAAAAAAGTTCTACATCGTTCAAATCTCAGCAGTGCTTATATTCCTCCTGTATACATACATACATAATGTATATATATATATATATATATATATATATATATATACTGTATATATATATATATATATATATGTGTGTGTGTGTGTGCGTGCGTGCGTGCGTGCGTGCGTGCGTACGTGCGTGTGTGTGTGTGTGTGTATGAAGGTGCAAACAGAAAAGACCGTTTAAGTCAGACCTGATGATCCTGAATAAAACCTGTCACTTCCTGCTGAAAACCAGTACCAACATGTTATCATCCTCAGGGGCCCATTCCTGGTGGCCCTCGGCCGGTCCTGGCACCCAGAGGAGTTTAACTGTCACTACTGCCACGTTTCTCTGGCAGACGTCAGCTTCGTGGAGGAGCAGAACAACGTTTACTGTGAGAACTGTTATGAGGAGTTCTTTGCTCCGACCTGCGCTCGCTGCAACACCAAGATCATGGGGGTGAGTGAGGTTCTGCACCTGCTCACCTGTGGGCATGCTCAGTCATGTAGAGGCGACCTGAGAGAAGCTGATCACAAAGGATAACTCAGATCTTTAACCTCCCGTGGCTCAGTTCTGTCTGATTTTTACATTATTTTGTTTATGTAAACATCTCATATTAATCCAACATCAAACGGAGAGCGGTGGCGCAGAGGTTAGAGAAGGCTAGCCTGTGATTGGAAGGTGTACTGTTCGACCCGCCTGGACCAATAACATCAAAATGTGGGCGGGAAAGGTGAAGCACCCACAGCTGCCTCCATCCTCACTTGCCCCACTCTGGGCCCTTGAGCAAGGCCCTTAACCCCCACCATCTGCTCTCCCAGACGCCCTAGATAGCAGCTCTCTGCTCCACACAGAGGGCTGTGGTTGTGTCAGGAAGGGCATCCATCGTAAAATAATCGCCAAGTCTTCATGCGACTTGATTCACTGTGGCGACCCCTGAAGAAGGGAGCAGCCGAAAGAAGAAGAAAAAAAGTAACACCATAACTTAATAGAAGAAGAAGATCTGCATCAAAATAAAGAATCTGCAGTTTAGGTTCAGGAGCTGTGTTTAACTTTAAAATAATCAAATAGTTTTAGACACTTTTGGGGGGATGCTTTCATTTTTACAAAACAATAATAGTTTTTATGAAGTTCAATAAAACCTTAACCCATTTGTTGTTTTAAACAAAATGATCTTCAAACTCCTGATGTAGTCCTCAGTTGTTCATAGGTTTTTCCAAGCATCCACACTGTCCTGCATGATCTTGATAACTACTGTAGTTCTCCACAGTTTCAGGCTGCTGATTTACTCAGTCGCTAGATCCGTTTTAAAACAATGTCATACCTTGAATAAAATTGTTGATGTTTGAATGTAGAAAAAAAAACAAACGGGGAAAATTATAGATAAAAAAACATAAAAAAGTTGATGGTAATTGGAAATGTCCTTCGTCTGTCCATCTGGTGATCTTGATAACTTGAAAAAGAAGTGAGCTACCAACTTCCATTTTGGTGTGTGGGTGCATCTAGGTGTAAAAAGATCTCTATTAAAGATTTAACAAGATTAAATCAAGTCCACGGGACAGATTTACCCTTGTTATATTATTTTTTACCTGGATTACCGCTCATGCATCAGGACATCTATTAAAGATCGTGTTGCCACATCAGACTCTAAAATGGCTTCTATCATATGTATGTGACCTGACCAGTTGAGGAAACTGTGCTTTCTAGTTTTTCTATTGCTCAAAAGTATAGTTTCTTCAAGTAATTTGGGTGGCATTTGGGGTGGCCAAAAATTAGTTTATGACCACTGGCCACCTCCTGGCTCCCCCATTGTCTAGTGGAGGATAAAACTGCTCCCCCAGTTCACCAGGATCCATCACTGTGCAGCCTCAGACAACAAAAAAATCAAGACCTGCCTCTGTTGCTACTGTAAACAGTGTAACTCTTACCCACTTGAAAATCTTGCACTAAAAACATTAAGGTTTACTTGCAATCCCTGTTCGATTCTATTCCAGAAAAACACTAATCTGGAAAACTACAGTACAAACATTCACTGTTCACATCCCTGAACGACGGGGACATCGACGCACCACTTTTTAAAAATGGGATTGAGTTAGATGTTATGGTGTTTTATTTTACTGTTTAAGGGTTGTTATGTTACTGTGTGTTGCAGGAAGTGATGCACGCTCTGCGGCAGACGTGGCACACCACCTGCTTTGTGTGTGCGGCCTGCGGCAAACCCTTTGGAAACAGCCTTTTCCACATGGAGGACGGAGAGCCGTACTGTGAGAAAGGTACAAAGTTTGAATCAAGTTGTTTTTATTTTAAGTGCTAAGGAAAGGACGCTCTGGGCCCAGTTAGTAGAGTTGAGGATTTGTTGTTCCAATCAGGAAATAAATGTTAATTTTTGGCCCTTTTACAAATCAGTGTTCTTAAACAAGGCATTAAATGGATCCCTGACTTTACTAGACGTTTGCTACAGTTGTAAGAAAATGAGACTGTAGTTTGTTTGGTTTTTATTAACTTTTAAAAATCAGTTTCACACTGATGTTGACATGTTCTTTAGGTTGCAATGCATTCTGGATAAATGACATAGACAGGACCTTCTGGTGCAAGTGTGAACGTTAATTTTGGACAATGTCTGAAGTCCCTGTCACACCATATTGTTTTAGAGAAATGTCGATGTGTGAAAATTTAATCCAAACTGTTGGCATACGCTGAAGATGGAATTTAAAAAAATCAACTGGAAGTCTCTTTTGGACGTAAACATGTCGTACTGCTAACAAGCTGAACAAATATATAACCCATAGTTAACATGACTAACAAATCCATAACTTTCACCAGCAGATGCAAAACTCATGTAAGCGTATGAGAACGTTTTTGTGACTCTCCTCCACAGTTTCGTGCTCCTCTTCTGTGAAATTTTGTGAAATAAACTGAATTGAATTTATATCAGCAGACGTGTTTCATGTGTGCTCAGTTCCACATACGTTAAGACATATGAAGGACAGGTGAGCAGAAACACCTGTGCGCATAGTTTGATAAATCTGAATATTTCTGTGTGCACGCACTTTCCTCGTTTTGTCCCTATGCCAACTTTCAATATGAAAACTGCACACTGTTTGGTAAATGAGGCCCCCTGTGTTTGTTTATGCTGCAAATGGCTCTGCTTTCTGTCACAAGCAGTTCACAACATGAAATGGGACCAAAACAAATCATCATATATATTTTAGAAAAGTGCATCACAAATCACATAACAAGAAACAATTTAAGAAATGTTTTGCAACTTTAGACATCCATCCATCCATTTATCCATTTATCCATCCTCTGCCACTTGTCCTAATTTGGGTAGTGGAGTGCTGGAGCTGAAGGAGCTTTCATTCAACCTTAATTCCATATGGACCACAGAGCAATTCACAACAACACTTTGCACATGCACAACCACACATTAATCATCCAGAGTGCACATGCAGGACACAGCTGTCCAGGGCTGACCCGCAAATGGTTTTGTGGAGGCACACCTCAGCTTGAGCCTTTTAACTTTTGCATTTGCTCCAGAGCTAATGTAGATATATAGATAAATATATAATATATATACAAGCTGATGACATTTGGTTGTTCCATCCATCCATCCATTTCCTTCCGCTTAGCCGGGGGCCGGTCGCAGGGCTAGCAGCCTACATAGGGAGGCCCAGACTTCCCTCTCCCCAGCCACTTGGGCCACTTCCTCCAGGGGAATCCCGATGTTCCCGGGCCAGCCAAGAAACATAGTCCCTCCAGCATGTCCTGGGTCTTCCTCTGGGTCTCCTCCCAGTGGGACATGTCTGGAACACCCCACCAGGGAGGCGTCCAGGAGGGATCCTAACCAGATGCCAGAGCCACCTCAACTGGCTCCTCTCGACGTGGAGAAGCAGCGGCTCTACTCTGAGTCCCTCCCAGATGAACAAGCTTCTCACCCTTTCTCTAAGGAAGAGTCCAGACACTCTGCGGAGAAAACTCATTTTAGCCACTTGTTTCCATGATCTCGTTTTTTTGGTCACAACCCAAAGCTCATGACCATAGATGAGGGTAGGAATGTAGATCTACTGGTTAATCGAGAGCTTTGCCTTTTCACTCAGCTCTCTTCACCACGACAGACCAGTACAGCGCCTGCTTCACTGCAAATGCCACACCTATCTGCCTATCGATCTCTCGCTCCAATTGTCCCCGATTTGTGAACATGACCCCAAGATACGTAAACTCCTCACTTGGGGCAGGACCTCCTCCCGAACCCAGGGAAGGCACTATACCCTTTTCCGGCTCAAGACAATGACCTCGGATTTGGAGGAACTGATCCTCATCCCGGTTGCTTCACACTCAGCTGCGAACCGCTCCTGCAAAAGTTGTAGATCACGACCAGATGAAGCCAATAAGACCGCATCATCTGCAAAAACAGAGAAGCGATCCTAAGGCCAACAAAACAGATCCCCTCAACACCTTGGCTGCACCTAGAAATTCTGTCCATAAAAGTTATGAACAGAATCGGTGACAAAGGGCAACCTTGGCTTAGTCCAACTCTCACTGGGAACGAGCCCGACTTACTGCCGGCAATGCGGACCAAGCTCTGACACCGGTCATACAGGGACCTAACAGCCCGTATCAAAGGGCCTGGTACCCCATACTCCTGGAGTACCCCCCACAGGGTTCCCAGAGGGACGCATCAAATGCCTTCTCCAAGTCCACAAAGCACATGTAGACTGGTTGGGCAAACTCCCACGCACCCTCCAGGACCCTGCTGAGAGTGTAGAGCTGGTCCAGTGCTCCATGACCAGGATAAAAACAGCACTGCTCCTCCTGAATCCAAGGTTCGGCTAGCTGATGGACCCTCCTCTCCAGAACCCCTGAATAGACCTTACCAGGGAGGTTTAAGAGCATGATCCCCCTGTAGTTGGAACACACTCTGCGGTCCTCCTTTGTGAATAGGGGGACCACCACCCCAGTCTGCCAATCCAGAGGAACTGCCTCCGATGTCCACGCAATATTGCAGAGTTGTGTAAGCCAACACAACCCCACAACATCCAGAGCCTTTGGCAAATCTCATCCGCCCCTGGCATCCTGCCACCGAGGAGCTTTTTAACCACCTCGGTGACCTCAGCACCAGAGATTGGAGGGCCCGACCCAAAGTCCCCATAGGCTCCGCTTCCTCAGTGGAAGAGCTGAGGGTGGGATTGAGAAGGTCTTCAAAGTATTCTGCCCACCGACCCACCAACGTTTGGTTGTTTTGACTCATATATTGTGCACAACAGCATAAGGACTAATACAAGTTCTAATTTTATTGCCATTCTTTAGAACCTTTTAGCTTTGAATTCTTGTGTTTTGGTCTCCACTGCAACCTATACAGGTCATTTCCCCAGAATGCATTGCACCAGGAAAATAATGGCAACATGTACAATTTTTTATGTAATTAGGCATTATCAAATGTCACAAACAACAACTTTTAGTAAAACAGACAAATAACATATTATGGCCAATATGAGCAAATGGTCAGAGATCCCTTTAAAGCCATGATTGTTTCTGATATGCTCAGTGATGTGCTTTTTCTGTTCAAATAAACTGAAGAAATAGAGTGCAACATACACAAAACAGACAAAAGAACAGGCCTTGACCTGGATTGAACTGAATAAACAATTTAAAAAATGTTGTAGTAAATAATGTGTTTCAGCAGCAACAAGCTGTTTAGGCCAAACTGAGCAGCGAGCTGCTTCTCATTCCTTCTACAATCATGCTGAGGGATTGTCTTGTGATGTTTCTTTATTAAACAAGAGTCCAGTTATTGATTTGGATCAATCAAACAATAAACAAGAATTTAATAAAACGACTAAGACTGGTTTAATTAACTAACCTGTCCAGAACAATGATTTTAAGAGAAAATGTGGTTGGAAAAAAATCATGAACAATTAGAAGCCTAGTTTTCCTTGAAGGAACAAATATCATCATTGTGCATCCCTAGTATTCAGTTTCTTCACCTGTGTTGCAGAAGATTCAAGTTTTAAACATGTTCAATAAATTTGTGCAACAAATTTTCTATGAACTAGTCCAAGTTGTTGCAGGCATCTCCTACCTGTTTGACAATGCAAGAGCTGTGTTTTGACTTTCACATGGTACTTCTTCTCTGACAGAAGATGTGTCCTGGTCTCAAAATTACGCCGATGATAGAAAATAATTATTTAAAAACTTGTCAATATCAGCAAATTTTCATTTCTGAAGTGAGGGAGGCTGCTGAGGTGGGCAAATAAATGTTGTACATAGTGTACAGTTTTGCAAGACACATAAAGTATATGCACTGCAAAATATACTGCTCACAAACACTCAAAATCCAACAAGATTTCAACTGAATATTTTATATTTTATGCAATTTCAACAGTCTCAGCCCAGTGAGATACTGTTTTTAGATTCACTTGGTTGTGGCGGCCATCTTAACTCAGATCGATTCCAATAGTTAATCAGTTGTAGATGTATATCCACTCATTACTTTGAGATTCAATACCAGATGCCCAGTGATTCATGAGATATTTTGGTAACACACAAACAGTATTGCCTGCCTTCACCTTTCCACTGCTGCTGATTATCATGAAAAAAAAAAAAAACGACATCTTTGGTCAGATAAACAGATAAAAACAGAAAGAGAATTCATGATAAAGTTTATCAGTGAAATTAAGAATGTCAGGATTAGAAGATAAAAAGAAGTTATTCAGTTGAAACAAAACACAATGCCCATATTCACGATTTTTCATTTTTTTAAATAATTTTTTTAAATATTTTTACTTAAATGCATACTTTCCTCAAATGATTTCATTTCAATCTCTGTTTTTCCAAAATTTGGGAATTTGGAACCCTGCAATCTCCCCTGGGGCATTCTGTCAATGCCAGTTAGGTTTAGGACTGGGCGATATGGATCAAAATTAATATCTCGATATTTTTAAGATAAATTGAGATATACTATATATATATATATATATATATATATCTCGATATTCAAACATCTGCTAAGTTCAAGGCAAAAACCAATGCAGACATGTTCCTGTTTTTAGTATTTTACGTCGCTTTAAAATGTAGATGTTTTTGTTTAGTTTTTTTTACATAATTTTCTTCCATTAATTTTTTCAATTTATATGCTTTTTTTATGATTGTCTACTGTTGTCATCATTCTTTGTTAAGAACAGGTCCCTCTTGTTGAGTCCCCGAGGTTCAATGAGACTAACCTGTATAAATAAAGGCTGAATGAATTAGTGGAAGAAATTATTTAAAAAGGTTTCAAGTTGTTAGAGAGTGTAGAGATTGGGAGTGGTGGCGCAGAGGTTAGAGAAGGTGGGCTTGTGATCGGAAGGTCGCTGGTTCAACTCCCCGGATTGGCAACATAAAAATGTGGGTGGGAAAGGTGAAGCACCCACACCTGCCTCCACCCTCGTTTGCTCCACCCTGGGCCCTTGAGCAAGGCCCTTAGCCCCCACCATCTGCTCCCCTGGGCACCCTAGATGGCAGCTCTCTGCTCCACACAGAGGGCTGTGGTAGCTCAGTGGTCTGTGGTTGTGTCAGGAAGGACATCCGGTGTAAAATTAATTGCCAAGTCTTGTGTGAGTTAGTTCGCTGTGGCAACCCCTGAAGAAGGGAGAAGCTGAAAGAGGAAAGAAAAAAAGAGTGTAGAGATCAGATTTTAAAGGAATCAAAAAGGTCTTCTGGTCTGATGAGTCCAGACTGATTGTATTTTAGAGCCAATCGCCCCTCAGAGTTCTGGGAGGAAACGCACTGCTGCTGAAGGTTAAAGGAAAAACCGTCTTATTGTAGCACACGTGTCAAACTCAAGACCCGTGGGCCAGATGTGGCCCGCCACGTTATTTTGTGTGACCCATAAGAGCTTAAAAGGTCTGATTGTCATATAATAAATACAGTAAGTCAAAAAAGCATACTGACAAAAAACTACATTTCCCATAATGCATGCCGATTATGTTACCTGAGAAGTAACAGCATTTTGACACCAAACATGGAGCTAAGTATGCCAAAGAGAGCCTTCAACCCTGATGTTGTTATTTTGAGTTTATTAAATGTATTTTGTGTTAAATTTGCAGCAATGAATTTGGGATTGTGGTTTATGTGTTTATCCAGGTAAATATGTTCTATAATAAAACCATCTCTCATTAGTTGGATGTATGACCCTTTCCAGGCTGTGTGCAGCCATTTGTTCCCTGTAAAATGCTACACCTGTCACGTGTTCTTACAGCTCACAATTGTTGGTTGGATCATAATTCTGCCTCTCTTAACTATGACAAAAAGTTTGAACAAAGTTAATGTCATAACTTGTTATTTTTCCTTATTCACTTGAAAAGTTTGGTCATTGATTTATGGAGTAATGTGGGTTTCATAACCTGGCAAATTAAAAGGTTTTATGTTATAAAAGCAGCTATATTTTTCTACATCTATGCAAATATATTTATGTGTAATATTTGTAAGTTGACTAAGTAAAAAAAGAGTTCTTTAACATTAAGGAGTAGTTGCATTTATTTTACATCACATTTAGTTAAATTTAGCTACATTTATACTGTCTTACAGTTATATCTGGCCCTTTGAGGGCAACCATTATGCTGATGGCCCTCAGTGAGAATAAGTTTGACACCCCTGTATGCAGAGGATTCAATGTATTTAATTTGTACTTTGGTGTCAGATTACATCGCTCTCTTCAGCACCAAGTGCCACGGCTGCGACTTCCCGGTGGAAGCTGGAGACAAGTTCATCGAGGCTCTGGGTCACACCTGGCACGACACCTGCTTCGTCTGCGCGGTAAGAACCACAAACCAGGTCCGCTCAGGTCCTTTAGGTCTCTGTGGAGGCTTTAGGCTGGAGCAGAGACCTCATCGGACTCAGACTGAGTTTATGTCCTCCCGTCGATGCAGGTCTGCCACGTGAACCTGGAGGGTCAGCCCTTCTACTCCAAGAAAGACAAACCTCTGTGCAAGAAGCATGCTCACGCCATCAACGTGTGAACCGGCACCTCGCTGCAGATCCACCTGCTTTTACTCCAGTGTATAACACACTTTAGATTTCTGTGCATTATAATTAACGTTTGTCTGAAAACGATGCTGCCTGGTGATAATGCTTCCAAACAGGAACTCATGCTGCTCATCAAACCAGCTGAACTGCAGCGTTTATATTTCTTGTCTTTTTCTTTTTCTTTTTTTTAATAAAACAAAAGTATTCAGTTGAATTCAGAAGAACATGGGTTTTAAAAAAAACAACTATTTAATTATTACCAGTTTGTCTGATCTGTGTGCGCAACAATTTAAAACAAAAGGCTATTAAATCTATTTTTAATACAGTTGGAGGTTTTAAATTCTACTTTATTTCTACGAATAAAATATACAGAGACAAATTTTGTGTGCATTTTATAAATTTAAGTGCCATTTTATGAATTTATTAATGCATGAATTGTTCATTTCACCATTTTCCTTAAAAAAAGTTTAAAAATCTAATTTCAACCTTTTTTAAAATTCATTATAAACAAATCAATCATAGTTAAATGTTAAAGTTGTCATAAGCAGAGCAGCACGGTAGAGCTGTGGTTAGGCCTCGCAGTGAGAAGGTCGCAGGTTCGCCTCCGTAACATGCACGTTAGGCTCATTGGTGACTCTAAACTGCCCCTAGGTGAGTGTGAATGGTTTGTCTCTACGTGTCCCTGTGGTGGACGTGCAGCTTGTCCAGGGTGTCCCTGTGAGAGAGACAGGGCCTGCTGGAGACAGAGACCAGCTCCTCGTGACCCAGAAAGTAGAAGAGGATAAAGAGTTTGGATGTTTGGATGGATGGATGTTGTTAAAATTATTCCAGAAGCTCCGTGGAGACTCTTAATTTGAACTTTGTATGATTTAGTTTTTATTTTTAGTGGATGTAACTGGGACCCTGTGTACATAATTTCGCTCCACCACATGTACCACATGAGGTGCGAATGACAATAAAGAAACTCTGACTCTGACTCTGATCTAAAAAAGTTAAATCTGGTCCTCTGGACATTCAAAAAAACAAAACAAAGCAAATCAACAAAAAAATGTAGAAACGTTTCGTCTCTCATCCAAGAGACTTCCTCAGTCTGAGGTGCTGTATTCAGCTCAGTCTCTTAAATAGCACCGTCTCAGGGTGGATCAACCAGTTTTGCTGCTGACAACCAAAACCAGCTGATCACATGCTCAAGAAGGACCATCAG